GAATGTATTTCTGCAAATATTGTATATGTCTTAACAAGTTTTTTTTTTCATTTCAGGTACCTCTTTCCTCAGGTAATCATATGATCAATCGGTTGTTTGAATATGATATTACGAAGTGCGCGACTTGGAAACCAGTTTCCGGCTGTACAAGGCATGTTCATTTTTATTATATTTTACGTCCCTCTGCAAATGACATCCAACTTTGTTTTTCTCTTTTACTGTATAATATAACCATTAAAATTTTTTACTGTATTTTTCAATGAAAACTAAATGAAATACCTTACAGATTTGATCGTCAGCGCTTCATTCAAATGAAATATCGTGACCATGCTTTTGTACAGAAACTAGATGATCCCGATACATCCCTTACGGAAGCATTCGGTGATCGTGATTTTGAAAATGCGTATAAGTAAGTTTTTGTCTATTTCGGCTTGTAAAATCAACTAAAAAATTGATTCTAATAGATTTATGAGTCTGCTGTATAGAGTAGTTCTGGGAGTGTAGACAGAGAACTAAAACAATGCGTTAACTAATTTCAGGGCTCTTCTTAGTCCAGAATTGACAAAAAAGCCATTTTTATTAAATGGGCCGTTTCATCAAATGATTCTTCGTGGTGCTTCGTTTTCATTGCCTCTTGCCGATTTAGTGATGCAGTTAAGGTGAATCTGCTTTTTACAGTTGTAAGTAAGTGTTGGTTCCTTCGCTTTAGAGAAGTAGAAGGTTTTGAACAGGGATTGCTCTGAAAGCTGTAGCTGAATGGAATATAAAAAAGTTATTTCAAGTGTATCTTTCTAGAATTGAGGTCCCTGATATGGAAGCGATAATGATGGATAGCATTCGATTAGGTCATGCCGATATGGTGGCAGTTTTATTGCGATATCGATCTCTTAGTTCAGCTGTTCATGGCATACATTTACATTCTCTTATTGCTTACGCTAAGAAAGTTGATCAAAAAAAAATAGTTGAAATGGTATACTTTGCAACTTATTAACAACAATAACACAGTTTCAGCGCTAAACAATAGGTTTCAGATATAGAAAATGTCATAAGAATCTAACTTCACTTGTATAAGAAACTTTTTGGTTCTTCCTAATTTGGAAGTTCTTTAATCTTT